TTTTTTTTTGTTCCTCGAATGCCTTCACGGCATTTTTGGCCAGCTGGAGAGGTGTGAGGTTCGAACTCCAGCAACCTGAGGCTGACAGCTTTGTGGAAGCAGCCACTTAAAGGCCTGAGCTAGGGCCAGGCCCCCAATCAATTCTTTAATTTTTCACAATGATGGTTGGGAATCATGCTTTTCTTCATGTCCAAGAGAGTGAACAGATACAGCTCATGAAGAACGGAGCCTAGGGTAGAAGGCCCATGAGCCTAGTGAGCTGGCTGGTAGGAGACAGAGATGGTGGCTCATCTTATCCCAGAACTTCCAGAAGGGCTTGCAGTCTTCCAGCAAAGGTCCACTCTGCTTCACGTCCCTTTCCACCCACTATTTTCTTGGGTGTGATGCTCTACACCTGCCTAAAGCCAGTACTTTCCATTATCCCTGAGATATGGCCTGGCCATTACTTGCTTCTTTTCTTTTAGAGGCCAGAAGATTAGATAATTTGCCCATTATTAGTGATACTGGTTCAAATTATTTAATCTCTCAGAAGTATTTCTCCAAGACACATTCTGAGCAGCTCACACAGTGCGCAAGCCACAGGTGAAAATGGGGCCTGCCTGAGGCCTTTGCTAGAGGATGCTCTAAGACATCTGGACACTCTCTCCTCCTCCAGGAGCGCTCCCGGGTGTCTGGTCTCTACACAGTGACCAGTACAAGGCATCCTACGTGTGAAAGTGGGTGTCCAGAAAAGCAGATGGAAGGCCAGATCCTGCTTTTCTGTGAAGGAGAAGAAGCCTTAGAAGGCAAAGGGGAGTTTTCTGTCCATCACTAAGACAGGTAGGGAAGGAGGCTAGGAGGGAAGAGAAATGCTCAGGCTGCCCTCGCAGACTTCTGAGGTAGGAGCCCAGGCAAGGAAGGCCACTGCCGACTCCTCCCATCTCACCTCACCCGGTGCCCAGCTCCTCAAAGGCAAAGACTTGCACTTACCCTCAAATCAAGTTTACACTGATTGATGCATTAAATGCGAAACTCAAAACTCAGAAACCACCTGCCTATTGGATGCTTGTTCCTCTCCAACAAATATTAAATGTGAATTCAATCAATATAAGTTAGGCCAAACATTTTGCCACAGGTTTCCTTTCTGTTAGAGAAAATGTCTGGTAAATCAAGAAAAAACATTGCCATTTACTCACTAAACTAAAAACAATTCTCCATTATATAATTAGCTAAAACACGATTGTATATAACGTAATTACACAAGTCTACAATTACACAAAAGTAATGATGTAGTAGACGGGAATGACTTTCATGTAATCACAAATAATGAAAGCTTCCCTGATTAGAAATTAAGGTATCAAAAAGACCCCGTTGGTGAAGGCTCCCAGTATTGATCCCAGCTTCGCAGAGGCTGTGCTGGCTGGTGGAGCAGCATCCTCCCCTCCCAATTACGGGAGACTTGGGGGGGTGGCTGCGGGTGATACCTTTAATTCTGAGATCTCTAAACTAGCACACCTTAATGACGCACACATTTCATTATCCACTTTTCCAGCTGGTCAAATAGAGACAGAATAAAACAGGACAAAACGAAGCACGGCAGTCAGGAAGGAACTTGTGTGGTTCCTTGATTCTCTCACATGTGATGTTATTAGCGACCAAGCATGTGTAAAGTCCCAGCACATTCAGTCCGCCATTCCCAGGGGCCCCAGGCTCTAGAGAGCTGGCTGCATGCTGTTCAGCAGACCCTCTTACTGCCTTTCATTTCTGCACTCACTCTTTACCCCTGCGTCTTCCTCGTTCCTGAACACTCCTTCTACTAGGCAAACCTAACCACTTCCTTCCGATCCTCACCTGCAGCATAAAACAAGCTCCACTAGTACACAGAGTTCTTCCTGATTTGCCCTCATACGTCCAAGCCACGTGCCCCACTCACACTTACTTACCATCATAATGCGCTGTATGGACGGAACTGGAGACACATTTGATAGTAAGACATGTGACTAGTTACGTACCACTGAAAACAATGACTATGCCCAATGACGTTATTACACTTCATCAGTTAGAACTCCATCCCAGTAAGAGACAGTTAAAATGCTAAAAAAATAGTATTCTGAATCTCAAAGTTTGGGGCTGGGGAGATAGCTCAGTAGAATAAGTACTTGCCTGGCAAGCAAAAGGTCCTGAGTTTAATACCCCAGTACAGCAAAAAAGAAAACAAAGTTTGTTCTTACAAACCATGCTCTCTTCTGTTTCCACGTCTCACAAAGCACTATACTCTGCCAAATCCCAGCCACTGGCATCTTGACAAACCCTAATAGGTCTCCGCTTTTAAGGCTGAACTCAATATCCCAGCCTCAAATCTGCCTGAGCTCATTCCCATGGCCTAGCTACTGTGCCATCAAAGAAAGATGCGTTTCTTGTCATCTCTCTCACTTTATTTTAGTGGCTGCTTCATCTCCTGATGAAATGTGAGCAGAACAACTCTATCAGCAGCACACAGGTGGGCACTTAGCAGATACAGGTCACCCGCTCTGTCAGTGATACTTGACTGAGGTGAGCAGAATTTGAAAAACAAAGGTCAGCATCAGAGAAGAAACAGAGTAAATCTTGCTGGAATTCAGGCTCTGGTCTCTTTGGTTTTCTGCGCTGTGTCTTTAAATCTAGAAACTTCCATTGTAAGACAGACCAGATGCCAGGAGAGATGCAGAGACAGAAAGAGCTTTGGCTACATCTGCGGGTGGCAGAGCAAAAGAGTAGACTCTTGAGAGCCACAGTCTTATCTCCTCAAGGCCAGAACTTCCACAGGATAGCAAAGGTCACCATCCGTGAGTGCTGCTCTGTACAGTGCTGACAGGCCCTCCAACATCTGGCTGTGGGGTTCCGGGGGGAGGGCTGGTACTTCTGAGCTTGTGAAAAGATACCCACCATTGAGAAGAATAAAATGGTTTAGGAGAGAAGCAATCCTTTTTCCCTTTTTGCTTTACTCTTAACTTCAAAGTAATCAAATGTTGTTTACGCATAAAATTTTAATCCTTTCACAAATTTGTATTTTGATTTAATTTGCATATCCCATTTACTGCAAGTCAACATGAAGAGAGACTCAACTAATTTAAACCATTTTTTTCTCTGAGCCTGAAACCTTTTCAGAAATATTTTTCTATTAGGTGACTCAATTATGTCTAATGTGGCTAATGTTGGCGGATTAGAACTTGGCTTAAAGAAACACATATTAGAACAGTGAGAATGGGAAGCGGGTAGGAGAACAGAGGAGAAGAGACAATAATTACCTGTCTTTGATGCTACACAGATCAATGTGTAAATCACTAAAATTCCCCAGGGAACCTTGCTGAACTGAAATGAGATCCTTGGGCTGGTTATCAATAAAGATGAGCCTCATGCAGCCTTGGAAAGCCTTAATGGGATTTAAACATTGGGAATCGGTGAGATTGTCGGGGCACCCTGTGGGACAGAGAAAAAAGATGAAGAAGAAGGCTGAAGTGATCAGTCATTGTTCTGGCGACCTATTGACAGAAGACCTTGAGGTCTAATTATTCTAGTGCTTTCTCATTCATAGCCACGCACATACTTCTGCTGCAAATCATGCCATGTGCAGGGAGGGACAGAACTAGTACACACCAGAATACTCAGTGGCTTATGGGAGACTACAGTGCCACACTGCTAAAGCAAATGGTCATTGCATGCTTTGTACGTCCTTCTTCCTATCCTGGGCTGGTAAGCTACTGGGCATTCTTTCCCATGGCCCCCTATGCCCATTGCAATGACGCAGCATGTCATAAGCACTTGGGAATCTCAGCTCTGACTTGAAACACACATTTACACGTACAATTCAACTCCAATTATACTTTCAAAGGAAATTATGCTTTGGGTAAGAACAGCAGCAGAGCAATCGTCTGGTTAATTGTTATCATTAGTGGGTTTAGATCGCAAGAAAGGTACACATAAGACCGTTCCTGGAATTTTGAAATCACATACACAGCAGATCAAGTCATTGCAGGAGCCATGGATTTGAATGCACATAGTTATAGAATGATAATGGGACCGGTGAAAGGTTAACACCATACCTCTTTAAACACCCCTCTTTTTTTAAAACTACATTACACTGATTTAGTATAGCTTGATAGCTCCTTCTCATTAAGACAGGTGTAGGGTGAAGCAGGTATGTGAGTGCTTGTGCTCTTTATAAGCTCTACCTCAACGGTGTTAATAGGTGCTGGGCATATGGGAATATAAGCTTGAAAACATAGCAATAACCCATAAATAATTGGGAATTATTTCAGCCGTCTCTAATAGACAGTCTCTGCCGGGTTGAAGCCCAGCTGCTGGTTAACAGCTTACGGGCACACCATAAAACGAAGCAAGATGCCACAACTTCTAATTGGAGCTGTAGAGAAGATTTATGTAAGTTGACTATTATTAGTGAACTTCATTTTTCATATTGCTTAAGTTTATAGACTACGTGTGAGGCACTTGTTTAAATTCTGTCCAAATCATAGCAAAGTCTACTCCTACGGCGGTACCTCCCACCCACCCTCAGAAGGGCACCTTTTTGAAGGAGGGTGGTCATTGTGCCTTCCTAACATGTCATTTTTTTGTTACACCAGAATTACTCAAAAACATTTTCGCCTGAAATATATTTTCATGTGAACTCTTCTTTCTCTGTTGCTAAAATAGTGTGGAAGATATGTAATTAGAGTCTCCACAGTATATTTTTGAGGACCCCCAAGATGCTTACTTTGACATTATCTTTTTATTGTCATTGGTGACATTATCTTTTTATTGTCCTGGAAAATGCTGGTCTGGGTTTGAATCCCTGCTCCATTAATTTCTGTACAGATTATTTTATATCGCAAACATCAGTTGCTGTGTCTATCGAATAGGCGTATCATCACCAATCTCTCAAAGCTCCAGCGTAACCGAGTGAAATAAGCCACAGAAAACACTTACAGAGCACATTTTCTCTCTGATGGAATGTGTTATCTCTGGGGTGAAAGACTGGGGCCCTGTCCTCGCCCAAAGGACAGCCTCAAGGATTTTATTCTACACTGTTTCTTTTTTTCCAGGAACATCAGTATGCACCCTGTTCTTAGGAAAAGCCCCTTTTTTATTTTATAGTTTTAACTATACTCCATTGATAGTTAAGAAATCGTTGGTATCCTCTGGAGTATGGAAGTAAGCAACAAGAGAGGTTAAGAGCTCATGTTTACCATCTGGAAGGCCATGTGTTTAACAGAGAGAGAGAGAGAGAGAGAGAGAGAGAGAGAGA